CACATGGCACTTGGCCGCGACACCGACGACGACAGCGACAACGACGACGACGACGACGAAAACGACGACGACGTCGCCAACGAAGACGACGACGAGGGAGGAGGCAGGACGACGACGGCGACAACGACGACAACGACAATGGAAGAGGGAGGACGGCGACGACGCGAACGACGAAGAAGGAGGAAGGACGGCGACGCCGACGACGACAACGACGAGGGAGGAGGGAAGACGACGACGACGACAACGACGACGAGGACGACGACGACGGCGACGAAATAGGAGGGACGACGACGAGACGCCGACGACGGACGACGACGAAAACGGAGGAGGATAACGACGAGGGAGGAGTGAAGACGACGACGACGACGACGACGGCGACGAGGAAAGACTGAAGACGACGACGGCGACGACGACGACGACGAGGGAAGAGGGAGGACGACGACGACGACGACAACGCAAGAGCGCGCGCGCACTCTTTTGTTGAAAATCCGTATTGCGAAACCTTGTGTTTTTGCATGTTTTTTGGACACACGATGTTGAAATCCTTCCGAAACCGAAGGTTTTTGAAGGATTCGGGCATACGCGCGAGACGACGCGCGCGTCTGCACTCCGTCCAATTTGTTTAGAGTGTTCTCGCGACGGCACACGCGCAAGGGCGTTCGACAGATTTCGACATGCGCGCGCGAAGCCCGCTTGGTAGCATGTTGTAAAAATTTTGAGGAAACAAAAGAAAGGGTTCTTTTTTATTTAAAAAATGTCGCAAGAGCTCGCGCGTAAGTTTCTTCAGCGAACCAGTGTTGCGAAACCCTGTGTGTTTGTATGTTGTTTGGAAATTCAGTTTTGAAATCTCGCTGGAACCGAAGGTTTTTGGAGGATTTCGGCATGCGTGCGCGACGACGCGCGCGTGTGCACTTCGCTCCATCTGTTGCAAGGGATTCGCGACAAGATGCTATGTTAGAACAAACTGTCACCGCATATTTTTTCACAGGTGAACCTCAGGGGGGGGGATACCGGCCCCCCTGGGATAGTGTAAGTTCATAGTTAGAATGGACACGTGGTCAGAATCATCCATGATCTACATACCCAAAAGGGGGGGGCATAACGCCGGGGGGGGTAGATCCTATTCTGTTTTTAGAAAGGAGAATATATGCGGTGGAAGAGCGTTGTGGAGCTGTTTACGTGGTGTGACTTCTCGCTATACATATATATGTATATGTATATGTATATATATGTGTGTGTGTGTGTTCGTGTATATGTGTATCTGTAAATGTATGTATATATATATGTATGTATCGAACTGGCACATATCATGCTCTTGCAAGCATCCCACCCACCCACCCACCCGCAACTTGGTTTGCAAAGTCCTCGCGGTGGCGATTGCGACGCACGCTCGGCGTTGGCGGGTGCATCTCTGCGGCCGCGCCAACCCAAGCATTCGCGTGCAGCGACCAGGTAGTTTGGCGCGGCCGACGCGGCCGCGGCGGCGCTGACCGTTGGGCGCATTCCAGCGGGCACATCACTGCGAGTCGGCGACTTGGGCGGGCGCGGTGCCATGGCAACGTCGACAACGATAGACGCGATGATGATAGTAGCGACGTTGGTGGCGACGATGGCAACGACGACGGCAAGGCCAGTGCGGGCGCCGATGCTGATCGCGCCGGCGACGATGACGGCGCACTCGCGTCGGCGCTGAGGGCGCTGGCAGGAGTTTTCCGTGCGCGCGCGGCCGACGCGTGAGAGTGGCCAGCGTGGCATTATGCGATTGGGACTGTGCCCCCCCCCAACGTGCGCGCAAGGGTGCGCGAATGGTGTCGGCGTGCGGCGCGAGAGGCCCGTCCGGCAGAATTTCATGAGCATCTTTAACCAGTTGTTTGTCCAAAAATGCGCAAGAGCGCGAGACCACGTCTTTGTGCACGCGGATGTTGCGAAACCATGCGATTTCGAATGTTTGTTTGGACATTCGGTTGCGTGCACGTCGTTCTGTTTGTTGCAAAGGATTCTCACGAAGGCGCGCGCGCAAGGGCGTTCGAAATTTCGACACGCGCGCGCGCGCGAAGCCCGTCTGGAAACTTTGTTATGAAAGTGACGAAGAGTCGGTTTCTTATGAAAGATAAATGCAAAAACGCGCGCATGCTTGTTTTTGGTTGAAAGTCCGTGCTGCGAAACCCTTATACATAGGGCAGCCGATGTAAACCAAATTCCTGAAAACAAAAAAAAAAAAAACATTCCAGCATGCGCGCGCGACGACGCGCGCGCGCACTTCGTCAGATGTTTTGGAAGGGACTCTTGGACACTCATGATTTGTGATAAACGATTGCGCGCGCATGCTATGCTGTTGCAACGGTTTGCGGGGGGAACCGGTACCGGCCACCCTGGGATGGCGCGAGCTCATTTTTAGGATGGACGATTGGGCAGAGTCGTATGTAATTGCGATACGAAAAAGGATGGGATTATCCCAGGGGGTAGAGTCTGTTCTCTTTTTAGAAAAAGAACTGATTGTTGTACGCAGTGATATTTCAATTCCACTGCACGCGCGATCATCCCACCCAGCCGCCGGCAACTTGGTTTACAAAACCCATGTGGCGGCGATTGCGAGGACTGTTTGGCGCGGGCTGGCACATCGCCGCGGCCGCGTTCGTGCGCGCAGGCTCGCGCAGAGCGGCCAGTTAGTCTTGTCACAGTGGCGCTGCTTGCTGGACTTACTTCCCGGCACGTTTCACACGCTGACGCGCGGGCATTTGAGTGCGAATGTGCGAATCGGTGGTTCAGGCGGGCGCGGTAGCATGGCGACGTCGACAACGGCAGGCGCAATGATGATAGTAGCGATGCTGGTGATGACGATGATGATGAAAATGACAACGGCAAGGCCAACACGGCGCCGATGCTGATCACACCAGCTCCAATGATGGTGTCCACGTGTCGGCGATGCTGGTGTTGGAAGCATTTCGACATGCGCGCGCGGTCGACGCGCTCGAGTGGCTTGCGTGGTATTATTTGAATGGGACCGCGCCCTGTCTTCGCAGCGCGCGCGCAAGGGGGCCCGAATGATTTCGACACGTGCGCGCGAGAGGCCCTTTTGGCCGATTGGAATGCACTATTGAAAAACACGCTTGGTTTTTTGTCCAAGCGTTCGCAGGGGCGCGCGCGGTGACTTTTTTGGACATGCGCGCGCGACGACGCGGTCGTGCGCTTTTCGGTGTTCGTCTTGTTTGTTCGCAGGGCTTCTTGCAACCTGATGAGTTTAGTTAACCGGGTGCGCTCGCATAGTATTGTTTGGTAAAGATGATGGGGGAGAGTTTGCCCAGCTGGGATGATACGAGCTCATATTTATCAATGACCCCGACAACCAATAGGACTTCGGAACAAACAGGAGGGTTTAGTTGGCTCTCGGTTGCCCCGTGGTGGTTTCGTGGATTCGTGGGAGCGGTGTCTTCACGCCTGATGCCCGTTCGGGCAGCGGATCGCCTCTCGTGCGTCGCCCGTCCAAGCCTCTCCAGGGAAAACGGGCCCGCCCGCGGCGACGGGTGGCCCCCCCCAGGGGCCGGGGGGGGAATGGAACGTCTGGTTGCCTGGGCCCTCGGGCTCTGCAGGGTGCCGTGCGGATGTGCCGTGCGCGTGCGCGGTGCCGCCTGGACGCCGGGACGCCGCAGTATACATGGGGCTCGCTTCGCGGATGGTTGGTCGAGCGGGGCAGCCCGCGCGCCCTTCGCACATTGTCCCGCCCGCCCAGTGCGCGTTCGGGCTCCGAGGGGCGCTGGGAAGGTGGGCCGAATCGATCGGCTCGGTCGGCTCTCTTTTCCAGCAGCGCCTCCAGGCAGTGACCCTACGTCGGCGCGGTCACTCGGAGCCCCGAATCATCAGGGGTAACTCGGGTCAGGGCTAACTCGGGTTCGTTTTTCGGGATTCCGAACCCGACTTACCCCAGACCCGACTCACCCCGGATAATTCGGGCGTCCAGAGCCCCAAATCATCAGGGGTATCTCGGGTCAGGGCTAACCCGGGTTGGTTTTTCGGGAATCCAAACCCGAATCACCCGGGACCCGAGTTACCCCGGATAGTTCGGGCGCCCAAGTCACTCGGAGCCAGCAAGCAATATTTTGCACGATAGGGGAGAATCGTTTGTAAATTGTACATGTCCAGGGGAAATCTGTAATCCCGTCTGGCGGGGGGGGGGGGGGGGGGCAGGTCGTAAGTCTTTTTATCAAAAAATGAGACAGGCGGCGACGAGGCGGCGACAACGACAGCGTAGCCGCCAAACCGCCACTCAGGCCCAGACGACGGGCGGCGACGAGGCGGCGACGGGGTGGCGACGGCGACAACATAGCCGCCAGACCGCCACACCGGCCCAGACGACGGGCGGCGACGAGTTGGCGACGGGTCGCCGTCTGGCGACAACATAGCCGCCAGACGGCGACAACATAGCCGCTAGGCAACAACAGCCCAATTCCTTCGAACAGCGAGAACCCGTCAGTGCAAGCCCTGTTTGGCGAATCGGTGCATACACATATGGATGTATATTGCATAGATGTGCATGCATAGATCTGTATGGGTAGAACGGTGTGGAGGTGTTCGGGTCCTGGGGTGCTTTTCAGCAGCTGCGCCTCCAAGAGAGCGTTCCGGGGGGGGCCAGGTCCTCCCAAGCTTCATCCGCGGTCCCGACCTGTGGCCCAACAACCAGCACAGCACACGAAAAAACACATTATGCCGTCGACGCCATGTTCATTCTGTTCTTGGCCTCCTCTGCTCCAGAGCACGTGCCCCTTGCATCTTGGCGCGTTACTGGGCGCCGTGCACCCTTGGCTGCTCCATCCTCACGACTAGTAACCCAGGTTATCCCATCCTCGTGGCGGATGAAGCTTTCGGAGGTCCGCGCGGACCCCCCTCTGGCGGCGCCTCCGGCACGCTTCGCGCGCCAGGGAGGGTGGTGTCCATCGCCGACCCGAAACATCCGCTCGGACCTTCGCAGGATACGTCGATGCCGTTTTCCTGTTCTTCCCGAGGAGGCCGCGGAAGCGATCAAGCGCTGCGGCGGCAAGCTGGAGCGGGCGTTCACGCTCTCCATCCGCAGATGGCACCCGCACACCACCTGTGTGCCTGTCCAGAGCCGTCGGCCAGGGCCCTCCTTGGCCCTGGCATGGTTCAGGAGGGGAAAAAACACACAGACACAATTAATCGTCGATTTCCCAGAAAATATGGGAAAATATGGGAAGTGGGGGGGAAGACAAAAACACAAAAAATATAGGAAAATATGGGGAATATTTTTATGTGTGTGTGTGTTTATTTGTGTGCCCCTGGGCCCCTTCAATGGTGCGCAGCAGCTGGCACGCGGGCCGAGGACAGCCCGAGCTTTGGGAGGAGTACGTTTCCTTCGTGCCCTTCACGTTTGGGCTCTCTTCTTTTTCTTGGCATCGCTCGGGCGTGTGCATTCTTTCCTTCGGCGAGGACCATCGAGGAGCATCCTTGATCATTTGGCGAAAAAACCCGCACGAAACCGAACAACAGCACAGGGCATGGACGTCCGAGCGATGGCTAGTTTTGAGCACACTTCCGCCTCTGAGTGGCCTTTTCTTCCCCCCGCCTCCCGCTCTGCCCTCGTCCCATTTCTGCATGCCGGCCGATGCGCTCGCCGCTGCCCCCGCCCGGCTCTATCGCTGGTGCAGCCAGCTCTGCCTTGCCGCCGACGGAAGCAGTGTTGGGGCCTGCCACCTCGGAGCGCTCTTCGCCCTGGGGGGCACCTCGGGGTGCCCTTCTGCCCTCGGCGCAGGGCCTGAGTGCTCTTGGCCCGCTCTCTCGCGGCCATGCTTGGACCTCCCCCTCCTCTCCCCCTCCTCCTCCTCCTCCTCCTCCTCCGCCTCCTCCTCCTCCTCCTCCTCCTCCTCCTCCTCCTCCTCCTCCCGTCGCCCTATCGCCAATCTGCGAGGATCCGTGGACTGGCTCCACCACGCCAGGTCCAGTCCACCGCGGATGGTTCCGGGTCTCGACAGCGACCCACGAAGAATGAAGTCATGGAAGAACCGCCGATTTAGAGAATCACATCGTCGGAGATCTGGGTATAGATCCCGTCGCCCTATCGCCATCGCCAATCAGCGAGGGTCCTTGGGCTGGCTTCACCACGCGGGCAGCTTCCGCTCCTCCGCGCCTTCGGGGCCGCGGGAGGCCGTCGTAGAGGGCGCATCCCGCCGGCGGCCCGTACGGCGGTCGCGCTTCGACCTCACAAGGCCCTCCCAGCCGAGGCCAGGATGGCCCGTGCATGCCCAGGATGCCCAGTGGCTTTGTATCGTTCGGACGTGTGCATTTTCCTGGCGAGGACAATCGAGGAGCACGTTGGACTTTTCGAACAAATGAAGACATGCACGGGGAGTAGACGTCCGAGCGATGGCCAGAGGGGGGCAGTTTGAAATCCACCGCTGCGAAGAAGTGGGCACACAGCGAGCAAGCACGACCGAGGCCCTGTAGGCCCCCATCGGTCTGCTGCATTCTGCCATCCGGATCGAGATGGCCCTGGAAATTTTCGAGGGGGGGTCTTGCGGTAACCCGGGTTATCGGGCCCGCCCGTCCCACCCTTTTGGTACCCATCGGTAGTTGAAAGTAGGTATTCTTGGAATTCCATGTTCCAATCTGCTCTTCGCGCCGTCCTACTTCGATGATCGAGTGGCCTCGTCTTTTCCGACCTCCCAAGGTTGCAGACGGCGCCCAATCCAGTTTCAACGCCTTCCTATGTCATGTTGCTATCTACTTCTTCCGACCGATGGGCACACCACGGATGGCGGATTTGTCGGCTGCGCAGGTCCGAAGGCGGTACGCAGTATTGCTGCGCGAGGGCGTGGCGTGGGGCTGTCCAAAGCGAAACGGTTTGGTTATCGACCAGCGCCTCCCCTTCCCCCACCCCCCTCCCACCGCCAGCCAACCTGGGCCATCGCCAAAACATAAGAGACGATCTCCCAGGGCCCGACCCTGAGATCTTGGCGTGTCCATGTTTTCGAGCGGGGCTTTTCGTCTCGCTTTTGGGCTCCTGGACACTCACAGATCGATCCAGCTCGGACAGCGACGCAGGAAGATGGGGTCTGGGGTTCCTTTCGTGATTTTCCACGATGTTGCAGCTTTTTTCAAGGTCTGATCTCAGGGGAAGGACGTCGACAACAACGCTTGGATCTGAGGTCGGGATCCTTGAAACGGGGGTCAATGCAAACGGGGTAAGCCAGAGCGCCGGATCTTCCTGGAACCTGCAGAGCTAGGGTTGCATTGACCTGGGCTACCGCGCAGGGTTTTTCAGGATCTTGCAGGATTCTGCAAAGCCCGCCAGACCCGAGTTTGCATTGATCCGGGTCAGTGCGTCCCCGACCCGCCTACGCACGCAGTTACGGCAGCTTCATGCCATGACGACCTTGGCGTTGGTTCCTGGCACCGTGTGGATCGTTCAATTTTGAACGATCGGCGGCTATTCGATCTTCGCTGGGGGGCCGCGGTGGGGTGCGAGTGCCCTCTGCGGACCCGCTGGTGTCGGTTCTCTACCACCGCGCGGCGGGCGGGCCACGCGGCCTGCGCCGTGTCAGGGGGCAGCAGCGAGCTCCACCGCTTGTGGCATCGCTGCCGCGAGGCTCACTGTTCGATGGAAAGCACGGGGACCATGGCCACGCTGTTGCGGGATGTGTCGATACCGATCTTGGTCATGGTCCATGCCGGCCTTGGCCACGGCCCATGGTCATGGCCGTGATCTCATTATAGTTTTAACCTTAGAGGAATGATACTTACCTGAACATGAACTTTCAGAGTCCTGTGTGGATTTTCTGGATCTGCGCTGGGGCCCCCTGGCGGCGCCCCTGGCGCGCTGAGCGTGCCAGGGAGGGGGTCCAGCGCGAATTCAAGAAATCAGCGCGGACCCCCAACAGTTTATGTTTACGCAGTTGTTCTTTCTTCTGAACCCATCCCCATCCTCAGCCCCACCATCCCACCATCCCAGCTGGGGATAGGCCTCTCGAAACTCGAAGGAAACAGCCTGTATTCTAGGCCTCCTAGATGGGGTCGGGGTAGATGGGGTCGCAGGATCGCGCCGCATCGCCGATGCATCGGCGATGCATCTGCGATGCGGCTCGATGTGGAGCCCGATTTTCTCCACGTTGGCGTCGCCGATGCATCGCCAATGTCGCCTATGCATCGCCGATGCATATGCGATGTATCGCCGACGTATCGGCGATGCGGCGCGATCCTCCGACCCCATGTACTCTTAAGTCGGGCCTGTCCCTCTACAGGGGGAATATTCGAACATAGTAAAAACAACAGTGTGGGGACGATGTTTCTAGCATGTTTTGACCATTTGCGGACATTTTTGGAGTATTTTTTATTCTTCGTCCAAAATCCCCCTGTAGGGGGACAGGACCGACTTACATCTACTCCGACCCCATCTAGGAGGCCCCTGTACGCCCCCATCTGCAAGGGCGCCCTCGAGTGCGCGAAGTCATTCGCGCTTCGCGGTTCGCCTCCGATCCCTCCTCTCCCTCCCCTTCTCCCCTGGGAGGCGGCGCGAGAGCGCGAAGCCATTCGCACTTCGCGCGGCGCGCAGCGCGGAGCGCGGAGCCGGGAGCCCTTGCAGCTCGGCCGGCGGGGCCCCTGCCCGATGCCCGCGGCGGGGCGCTCGGCCGGGCGCTCCGCGCGGCTGCCCGAGGCGCGAGGCTCTCCGGCGGCGGCCGCCGCGGCCGCCTCCGCGGACGCCGCAGGCGCGGGGAGCAGACAACGGCACAACTCACGCACACGCACACACACACACACACGCACACACACACACACACGCACACACACACACACACACACACGCACACACACACACACACACACGCACGCACACACACACACACACACACACACACACACACACACACACACACACACACACACGCACGCACGCACACGCACGCACACGCACGCACGCACGCACTCACACACACACACACACGCACAGTCGGATGCAACTCCTGGGGAGGTCAAATTCTGATTTAGCCCTGGTCAGAAAACCCGCTCAATCCGGCGTAATCCGGCTTAATCCCGCTTCCTCCGGCTTCAATCCCGCTTAGTCCCGCTTAATCCGGCTTGAATCCCGCTTGATCCGTGGCCCACTCTGGCGTAACAGCCCCCCAATGGGGCTTAATCCTCCTTAATCCTTCCGACGAAAGCCTCCCAGTAGCTGCCTCCTAACACACACACACACACACACACTTTGATGCTCGTTCTCTTCTTCGTCGTTTCGCCGCTCGGCGCGGGCCTTCGCACCCCGAGGTCGAGCTCCGTTCCGGAGCGTCCCGGCATGCTCCCGGAGGGCTCTGGCACGCCCTGAGGAGGCCGCGGCGCCCGCGAGGCATCCTCCAGAGCCGCCAGGTCGTGGTCGCTTCTTTCTTCGTTGTTGGCCGATCGGCGCGGGCTCCAAACCCTCCCCTCCCCCCCCCTGGAGAAGATCTTGGCCGTTTTTGGCGCCTGCCTCGAGTGGATGGAGTCCCCCCCACAGCTGCAGACTGTCGCACTGAGACCAGGACGAGGTCTGGAGCCACACGAGCCGGAGCCAGACCACGGAGCCAAATGAGCCGGAGCAGCACCAACAGCCGCACGGGGCCAGACCAGCCCCCCTTCCCAACCCCGTTCCGCCCACTTGCCGAAGCGCCAAGTAAGGACACGCTCACCACACGATTTGGTCGGAGGTCCGCGCGGATCTCTCGGGCCGGCACTGGGGGCCCCCCTGGCGGCGCCGCCCCGCTCCGCACGCCTGGGAGGGGGGGTCCAGCGCCGAGCCAAGGAACCCCGCCCAGGCAGCCAGCGCTCCGAGTTTTTGTCGAGGCGCGGATCCCTGGAGGTCTGGCCAACCTCACTGGGGCCCGAGTCGTTGTCTGAACGGTCCTGGGGCCCGCGTTGATGGCCCATGGAGGCCGAAGAGCACCAAACACTGGCCGCTTCAATTTTGTCGGAGGTTCGGATCTCTCGGCCGATTCGGGGCAACGATAGGGGGTGACAGGCATAGTCAAGCAGTGGCGAAGCGTCCTGGCTCGCCTATAGGCTCATCATCGAATGTTCTAAGAACCATTTGTGGTTTGCACGACATTTTCTTAGAACATTGTGGCTGAGACTGTTTGAGTTTAATACATCGGGCTTATGTCTGCTTAGAACATGATTGGGTTCTAAGAACATGTCGTTGGAGGCCTAGAGGAATGCCGGAACGGTCGGCCCCTGCTCAGCATAGGAGGGGGACGCATCGACTTCTCATCGCCCATGGATCGCCAGTAGAGGTCCGGTGGCCCCATCCCGCCCACGAACGTGCGGAGTCGTTATCGGGTGCATATCGCCGATCTATCGTTAAATCGGGCCTGTCCATCTACAGGAGGAATATTCAAAAATTGTCAAAAATACTCTGGGGACGATTTTTCCCAACCATCCTGTGGTGTTGGGTCCTCGTTTTGAAGAGACGGTGCCCCGCGTTCTCCTTCCTTCCTTCCTTCCTTCCTCCCGCTGCCTCCTCCCCCCTCACATCATCATCATCATCATCATCAACACCCATTTCGGCACACCCCTCACACGTTTCGTGGCTCCATAGGGAGCTCCACCGAAGGCCCCAGTGCCCGCGGCCGCATGCGTCCCCCACACCCATTTCGGCACACCCCTCACACGTTTCGTGGCTCCATAGGGAGCTCCACCGAAGGCCCCAGTGCCCGCGGCCGCATGCGTCCCCCACACCCATTTCGGCACACCCCTCACACGTTTCGTGGCTCCATAGGGAGCTCCACCGAAGGCCCCAGTGCCCGCGGCCGCATGCGTCCCCCACACCCATTTCGGCACACCCCTCACACGATAGTGGGCTCCATAGGCACACGTTTCGTGGCTCCAGGGAGCTCCACCGAAGGCCCCAGTGCCCGCGGCCGCATGCGTCCCCCACACCCATTTCGGCACACCCCTCACACGTTTCGTGGCTCCATAGGGAGCTCCACCGAAGGCCCCAGTGCCCGCGGCCGCATGCGTCCCCCACACCCATTTCGGCACACCCCTCACACGTTTCGTGGCTCCATAGGGAGCTCCACCGAAGGCCCCAGTGCCCGCGGCCGCATGCGTCCCCCACACCCATTTCGGCACACCCCTCACACGTTTCGTGGCTCCATAGGGAGCTCCACCGAAGGCCCCAGTGCCCGCGGCCGCATGCGTCCCCCACACCCATTTCGGCACACCCCTCACACGTTTCGTGGCTCCATAGGGAGCTCCACCGAAGGCCCCAGTGCCCGCGGCCGCATGCGTCCCCCACACCCATTTCGGCACACCCCTCACACGTTTCGTGGCTCCATAGGGAGCTCCACCGAAGGCCCCAGTGCCCGCGGCCGCATGCGTCCCCCACACCCATTTCGGCACACCCCTCACACGTTTCGTGGCTCCATAGGGAGCTCCACCGAAGGCCCCAGTGCCCGCGGCCGCATGCGTCCCCCACACCCATTTCGGCACACCCCTCACACGTTTCGTGGCTCCATAGGGAGCTCCACCGAAGGCCCCAGTGCCCGCGGCCGCATGCGTCCCCACACCCATTTCGGCACACCCCTCACACGTTTCGTGGCTCCATAGGGAGCTCCACCGAAGGCCCCAGTGCCCGCGGCCGCATGCGTCCCCCACACCCATTTCGGCACACCCCTCACACGTTTCGTGGCTCCATAGGGAGCTCCACCGAAGGCCCCAGTGCCCGCGGCCGCATGCGTCCCCCACACCCATTTCGGCACACCCCTCACACGTTTCGTGGCTCCATAGGGAGCTCCACCGAAGGCCCCAGTGCATGCGTCGGCACGCCCATAGCTCCACCGAAGGCCTCAGTGCGCCGCCCGCATGCGTCACCCCCACCCATTTCGGCACACCCCCCGCATTTCTGCACGGCAGGGTCATCACCACGGTGGCGTGCCAGGGGCGCACCTTGCGCGAAGGCGACGGGGCGGGGGAACGGCGCTCCGGGGGCGGCCAGACCTCCGGGGCGCGAGCAGTCCGCGGCCAGACCATCTCTCGGTCCTGTGGACTCTCGCCCTGGGCCGTCGGCTGCCCGGCGCGCTGCTCCCTCGGTCGACGTCGCCCAGGCGTGATCCTGGATTGCGGCCGCCACGAGGTAGGGAACGGCAAGAAGGAGGACGACGACTGGTGGCTGGAGCTCTACGTGCTGCTCTCGCGCGCCACGCGCCACGAGGACCTCCTGCTCATGCGGGCGCCGCGCATCGAGTTCTTCCTGGCAGGGCCGCCGCAGGGCTTGCGGAAGCAGCTGGAGCAGTTTGCGGCGCGCACGAAGCGGTGCAGGAGGGAAGCGACGGCCCTCGCCAGGGAGCTCGGCTTCACCGAGTTCATCCGCGAGGCCTGACCTGAGGAGCGTCTCCCCCGAGCCGCGCCTTCTCTCGACTGCCCGACTAATTGTTTGGCCTCGCGCCGCGGACGACCCGCGCGCGTCGCTGGGACCCTCTCGGGGCGACCAGCGCGCGTCGCGGGAACTCCGTGCTGCGGGGGGCCCGGCGCCTCGTTCGCCCGTCGTCGCTCTGCCCAGCGGTCAGAGACTTGCCCGCTATCAGCCAGCCAGTTAGCTAGTCAGCTCTCTCTGCTTCGCGCAGCGGACGACCCGCGCGCGTCGCTGGGACCCCGCCCGGGGCGACCAGCGCGCGTCGCGGGGACTCCGCGCTGCGCTGCGCCCGCAGCCTTGGATTTTGGAGTGCGCGGGCAAAGAGGAAGGAAAAGAAGAGCCAAAAGCGGGCGCGATCCTCGCAAGAGGCGTGCCGACATGGGCGTCGCGACGTGCGGACGCTGCCGTCGGGGTTCCCGCGGAAGCTGCCTGCGGCGGCCACGCCCAGTGTCACGTGTGTTCGGGCAGGCATGCTCGACACTTACACTAGGCGGTTCCATGATCGCATTCATGCAAATATATTCACTCGCGCGCAGACCCATTCATACTCAGATTCCCTTGCGTTCTGACTCACCCGCGTTTTTTCTCCCGTAATCAGATCTATCGTATTCCTTTGCGTTGTGTACCCCGCCACATTTCGGCACACCCCTCATGCGGTTCGTGGCCCCATAGGGAGCGCCACCGAAGAAGATACCCACAATTGCGATACTCACAACTGCATATGGTTGGGTCCTTCGCCAGGAT